CGCGGTCGCCTTCTTCGCGCGCTCCAGCGCCACCGTCTTCTCTTTTCCCATGGCGGCGGGTCGAGTTCGAGCGAGGGTTCACCGACGAGGGCAGGAGCGAGCGTGGCGGGGAGGTCGAAGGAAGAAGAAAAGAGAATGGGAGCACACGGGGCAGAGGCCTGGTCCGGTGCCTTTTATAAGGTCGTTCTTTGAGTGACTGACTGGTGGACCCGGACGATCTAAACAAATCCCGCAACAGTCGCGTGCGCAGTACATGGTGAAAAAGGTGGCGCGGAGATCGAGGATACTTGCCTAATCCATCCCGATTACCACGGTCTCGCCCGTCTGGCGCGCTTCCCGAAATTCGAGTCCCGCGAAATCCGCGGAGAGCAGAGCAACTTGTCAGACTAAAAACTCCCTCTACATTATCATTCGGAATTCTACCGTGAAAATTCACTCGACAAAAAAAAACCAAGAATGTACCAAGGCGACTGAAAAAAGGAGTTGACGTCGTCTCCTCAGTTCATTGTTCCAGAAGAAGGTATACTCATAGCACAAAGAATGAGTCATAAGTGTTCCCAACTCCTTCCTCACTCAAACCCTGATCCATTTGGGAGCTAATGATGAAGCTATATACCTAGGGTAGGGTCATGGATCTATCCAACATACCCTCCCCAAGGACATCTCTACAATGAACCAGAAGCAGTCGAAGAAAAACCATCATCCACTCGACCATGAAGATGTGTTCACTCGACCACCTTGAAGACACTCGACCATGCTAACAACCACTCAACCACTAGAAGATGTGAAGCCCTTCACTCCGCAACGGTCGGGGTTTAAGTCATAGCTTTATGGACATTTATAGCACTTTACTTCGGACGTTACCAGTAACGCTCCTCCTTTATGAACATTGAACCCTGTGTAACGGAGGGGAGCTGGGGTCCTGGCGCACTCTATACAAGCCACCCCCCTCCTCTAGGAAAAGGGTTCGCACCTTCTGTAATTCACACGCACATATCCAGTCGACCGCCTCCAGGCTCCAAGACGTAGGGCTGTTACTTCCTCCGAGAAGGGCCTGAACTCGTAAAACTCGCGTGTACAACTCCTCCATAGCTAGGATCTTGCCTCTACATTCCTACCCCCACATTCTACTGTCAGTCCTAGAACCACGACAAAGGGTTTCCCCTCTGGTCCATGGCCTCCATGGCGGCGGAGGGGCGAGAGCCCCTCCGAGACTGGATCTGTCTCTCTGTCTCTCTTTGTTTCTGCATTTTTCTGCGTTCCAGATTCTGGCCTTTCACCGTTTCTTATATTCCCGGAGATCCTTAACTCCGGTTGGGCTGAAATTTTAACACGATTTGTATCCGGATATTGGCTTTCTTGCGGTGAAAGAAGGGCACCAACCGCCTTACGGGGTGACCACGAGGGCCCAGGGCGCGCTTGACTCCCTGGGGCGCGCTCCCTGCCTCGTGGCCCCCTCGGGCATCGTCTCGCGTTGATCCTTCTTCCAAAAAATCACATATATTCCAAAAAAATCTCCGTCGGTTTTTATCCCGTTTGGACTCCGTTTGATATGGATTTCCTGTGAAACAAAAAACATGCAACAAACAGGAACTGACACTGGGCACTGGATCAATATGTTAGTCCCCAAAATAGTATAAAAAGTTGCCAAAAGTATATAAAAATTGTATAATATTGACATGGAACAATCAAAAATTATATATACGACGGAGACCAGTGCACATGCAGTGCACGCTGAGGGTCTGCTAGACCAGTTGGTAATCTTCGTTTGTTGTGGGGCGGCTTGGTAAGGCCATCGGATTAGATGATATGCGTTATAAAAACATATCAGTCCCACACATCCTCCCGCCACCTAGAGAAAAGAAGTGTCACCATGTGACACTATAGCATCAATATAGTACATGCAGTCACGATACAAAAATTTCCCCACATAAATATACATTAGTTAACAGATAACACAAAACCATACCACAAAAGGTTCATCAAATCACCACATTATAAATAAAAATAAAAAACACTCCATCATCTCCCCACCCGCTAAACTAAATATTCCATCATTTTCAAAATATAAGGGGTATTAGTTTTTTGAAAAGTCAAATTTCTTTAACTTTGACCAGGTTCAGAGCAAAAAATATCAACATCCACAATATTAAACAGATAAAGTATGGAAATTCATTTCATGATGAATCTAATCATACTGATTTGATATATGGCTTTTTATATATTTTTCTATAAATTTAATCAAACTTAAAAGTTTTGAGTTTTAAAAAAAATAATACACCTTATATTTTAAAATAGAGTGAGTATTTAAAGAAAAAACCAACAACATCAACAAGGCAGCAAAGCACGCTCAGCCTTTCTAGTATCTACTCTATGTGATAGCAAAGTCGATTTCAGATGCTAAGCTCCGCTCTGGCATTGTCAGTGGAGCTGCTGCACATGTAACTTCCCTCTCTCCATTTTCACCATCCCCTGGACAGGAGATGCGCCTGTCTGCGACCATTCAAAGAAGCAGGTGCAATTGCTCTCTGTTTGCCTTCTTTTTGCCCCAACTGTTCCGGAATTTCGCTTGTTAGGTGGCCGGCCGTTCACACGTTTATTTGCCGACGGGCATACTGATAACCAGCGCCTTCTACCTTCGTGGGATTTCTTTCCCGACTTTTGTGCCAGCATACTGATACAGTGATACTGATATCGATATTATTCCTGCACAGACATGTTTTTTCAACTTCTTTACCCGCATCAGTGGTCACGTCCCCGGCCTTTGCATATTTCCCTGCTCCTCTGCCGAGCCCTTTCATGTGCAGCGCACCGGTATATCGTCCGGCAAATATTTTGTCCGCCCACAATGCCCGATTATTCCGGCGCATCGATCTGCCTGACGTCGATCTACGGCAGGCTTTACCTTCCAATCTGGAGCACCACCTGAAACTTGAGCAAACTGAAGCTTCCGTTCTTATCTTTCATGCAACTGCAAGTTGGCTCCTCGGATGGTTTGTTGGAGTGCTCCTTGTTGAGTTGAGGAAAGCTCCATTGCCACCACACGTCCACGCCACCGCGTAGTTAAACATTGCATAGTGGATCGAGTGCAGTGGTGCTTGTTCCACCGCGCGCTGCCTCTTTTGAGCGCTGTTGCTTGGGCCCTGTGATGTGAGCATCTCACCCCTGGTGGGAGGTTTTTCTCCCTTGTGTTCACACATACCCCCTGGCAACTGGTATCCAGTGAGCTGATGCTGAACCCAGATTTGTTTTGGCACTTCTCTGTCTTGATTCCTTCTCTTTTCCTCGGTGCTGGTGCCGTTCCTATCTACAATGGGACAGCTGTGAACGTGCCACTTAGTTTAATTTCTCCTGAGGTGTAATTTATAATGCACCTATAGATGGATGTACATTTCCATTTATTCGCAAAAAAAAAAGAGGTACACTTCCATTTCTTTGGTTTCCATATAACTCTGAGCTTATCTTTTGAAACCTTGCCATTTCTTTGGTTCCAAATGCTCCAGCAGCCCAAGATAATGATGTCCATGGCAAAGTTTTCAGACAGGTTTTGGTGAGAATTGCTTCATCATATTAATTTATTTATTTTTGAAAAGGAGTTAGACCCCCGGCCTCTGCATCAGAATGATGCATGCGGCCAATTACTTCATCATATATAGATGGATGTACCTGTTTGTTTGGAAGATATAATGATCATCCAACAATCTTGAGCAAAAGAACAATCCCAGAATAGATGCACTGCAGTTTCTTCAGTTCTCTCATTACATAAAGCACATTCATAACAGTCAAGATGCATGGACTTTCTTTTAAGAAGGTTTCTGGTGTTGGCTCTGTCATGCAGGAGTAGCCAACAAAATATTTTGTGTTTGATTCAGCTTGCACTTTTCCGCAACCATTTGAATAGCAAATGTGCCTCCTCCTTAGTTTTTAGGAATTTATACATCTTCGAGGATGAGTATCCTATGTTTTTCCCTTGGCAAATCCATTTGTCCTGTGCTTGAGGGTTTCCATGCTGTAATACCAACTCCTGAAGTTCATTCTCCGTTTCGATTAACAAAACATTCACGCTTATGCACGTGGCAATGGAATTTATATACTATTGTGAAAAGCATGCATGCGTAGATTTGTTTTGGGGCATGCATGCACATGTTACTGTGCTTTTGCTCAAGATTCTTGGGAACATATCCCACAAGCATCTCAGTGAATAGGATATGTTGTTAGATCTTGCATTGATGCTACAATCATATGCCAAAATTGTTAGATACATATGTCGAACCTTGTTCGATACAACATTGCAAAAACTATAGCATGCTGCGCGACTTAGCTGCCAAAGAAAAGCAGCTGGTAGGTAGGTAAGTCGGCATCAACGAAGTAGACGATACATTAGCAATCACAAAGCATTACATACAAGTTGAGCTCATGACATCATCAAGTGGAGGAAAAAGTTCAAAATTATAATCATTAAATTTCGTTAAAAAGGGTGGAATGCACTATATTTTTTCCCTTGTAGTCCACCCGCATTATGGAAAGCCAAACACTTGTCGTCCTCACCGGTCTTTGATCCTTCCTTGATCTCTCACTCTCATACTTTGGTCTTGCTACTGTTGTATTGGTTTCATTCATCACAAGCTTTGCAACTTGCAAATATATAGAGTAAATAGCATAAAACTACTACTTTACAGCCTAGGGTTCCAAAAAACTACCGGTTTTAATTTTTTCTCAGATAACTACTAAATGGGTGGTCGGCTATCTCGAATATATAGCACTACATCCTCCTATCCATGTTAATTTATCAACACAGGATAAGTACCAAAATCTGTTACACAAAACATATTCCTGATAGGGAAACTGGTTGCAGGGTGCATGCATGCATGACCCCAGCTATCGCCATTAAATAATTATTTATCATTGCTTAGTAACACATGCTCTTATAATCTTATTATTGATACAGTAGTAGTTATCCTCTAAAAATTTGGGTGGATAATATGAGTAAAAACAACATTTCATTCGATAGAAGCTGCAGCAGCTGTGCTGTTCTTGCATGGCTCCGAGGAGCAGCCACTGTGATTGCTCGAGGCCTTCTTCTCCGGTGCCGATTGCTGTAGCAGCTGCTCGAGCTTCTCATTCAGTTTGGCCTTCTCGTCCCTGAGCTGGGCGCTCTCGCGGCGAGCGCCGGCACACTCGCACAATGCGCGGTTGAGCTCGTCGAGGAGGCGGCGGTTGGCTCCGCGGAGGTGCGTGACCTGCGCCCACAGCTCGCTCAGCTGCCGCTGCTTGCGCATGCGCGACCGCCGCGCGGACTCCCGGTTCGAGACCATTCGCCGCCGCCTCCTCTCCTCCTCCGCGGCGCCAACTCCAGCGCCAGCACCGCCCACCTGGAGGTAGCTTCCGCCACCGGCGTCGGAGCCCGAGCTGGGCGAGCCATTGCCGCCGGCGAGGTGAGCCGCTTCTTCTGCTAGTAGGATAGCGTCCAACTCAAAGGCTGCTGCCACGTCGTCGACGTCGGCGAGTAGAGCGGCAGGATCAAAGGAGGGCGGGAAGTAGGCTTGAGGGGGCAAGGCCATGTTCATGTGGTGGTGAGTGGTGAAGGAGGAGGAAGGGTTTGGGGGCGGGAGGAAGTGGAAGCTGGCAAGCTCGCCATTGTTATGGTGGTACATGGTCCTGTTTATTGTCTCTTCTTTGCTTATGGCAGCTTCTAGTGTAGTAGCACTAGTAGATCTTGTTTCTTGGCTATGGCAGACGAGGAGAAGAAGCCATGGCCTTTTATAGTGTGGCACAGTGGCTTTGTTGCCCAAGAGAGAATCAATGGTTTCTCTTCTCTCTCTCATATTATCCTTTTTTTTGTAGCCTGAGAATCTTATATCGAGCTAGAGTTTGGTAGCTTACAAATATGGGCAAGCTTAGTGCATCTTCAACATTGACCTGCAAATTCTTTCCCGCATCCGTCCACGGATAGAGTTATTAGTTCGCGGACACAGATGCGGGATATGGGTGGATGCGGGATACGGGCATCCAACGCTGCCAGCATACAATTCAAAATTTTAGACAAGTCGGGCAAACTTCATTGAAACCGGATGATATTCATATAAACCAGACAAAATTCATTATGTTTGGACATATTTTAACTAAGAATATATTGGATTAAGGTAAAACTATGCTGAGATCTTATATGGAGCTAGAGTTCGGTAGCTTAGAGTCCGGGCAGTCCAAACCCGCCTCAAACGCCCGGTCACTGGCAGGTCAGGAAATTTTGACCCTGGCGGGCGCTTCAAATGCGCGGACTGACAGACATCCCTCATATCCAGCCCAAAATATGGGGCGGATATGGGGACGCCCGGCTATTTACGTACACACACTGTTTGATGAAACTGAATGGGCAGTATGTATGCGACGACATGATCCGTTGATGAAAAACTTGTACATCTGGTTAATGTAGTCAAATTTAAGACATTGTTATACTAGACTTATTTGCATGCTACATATGAATGATTTGTGCTTCATTTTATCCAAACTTCGATGAATATCGGCCGGTTTGTGTGAATTTTGTTCGGTTAGTTAAAATGCGGTTCGAAATGTATGCGACTGCGGTTGGATGGCGTCCTCCTACACCCATGTCTGTGGACTGGTCCTGGATGCGGTAGAAAATTTGCAGGTTATCGTTGAAGATGCCCTAAGTGCATCTACATAGGCGTTACTCTCCTAGATTGTTCCCGGTGTCATCCATAAGTATGGGCGAGGTTAGTGACTAGTGAGCATCTAAGTGCACTAGACCTGTGCGCTGTGTATATCTTGGCTTATTAGTTACCAAGAGAATATTTGCATGGATGCATGACTTGACCCAAGTCAGTCTCTTCGGGCAGGTGAATTTAATCCCCCATGTTTGTCCATGCCAAACTCTGCCTGTTGCTTTTACATATTCTCCTTGTGATACCTTGCTTTCGGTAACCAACTTTTAATTATTTAATCGACAAAGCAAAAGCCATTTATGCAACATGTTGCGTGTTAACTTACAAATGATAGCCACACACAAAATATCACAGTATTCTCGCGTTTGCATTTTTTTGGCTGCCATAGTTCAGGGGTTTAAATATGCTTATCGAATTCCAGAACTACTCGGCAAACCGGAGGGAGAGGCTCCCACCTATATATGATCCCATTTTAAGAGAAGTGATTGATCTAGTTTACAAGGAAACTGGATCGAGAAAACAAATAAAGCGCCATGTTTATAAGAAAAACAGGGTCAACAGACAGAAAAACAACAAAAACGTGCACCTCACGACATTAGGCAATAGTCGCACAAAACACATAAAACGGATCCGAAGTTACCGCTCTGGCGTCCCTCGGCCCATTCATACACGAGCCATAATGTCGCACGACTTGGACTTCGTTTAGCCTTGTTATATGAGATGACTGCCCATAGACCATGAACATTGTGCCTCAAACAACTGGAGGCGTTGCCGGACTTACCAGCGGGACTTAGCCCTCCTACCGCGTCGACCGGAGCGACAAACTCATTATCCACCCGACATGAGGTCACCACTCATGATCCTTTCGGTGCCATTGCCCCGACATATATAGCACCGCTCGCTTTCATTCCGTTTTGCGAGAAAACTTTCGATCTATTCATCAACTGTCATGGTAGTACACAAGAATAGCAAAAGTAAAAAAATTGCATTCAGGTTTGTAGATCATCTAGCGACAAACTACAAGCACTGGAACGAACCAAAGGCACGTCACCATCATCGCCTTTCCCTCATCAGAACCGGATAAACTTGGTTGTAATACACAGTCGAAATATTGTCATGTTAAGGCCCTACAGAAATGAAGCCCTCCCACCGGCAATGGCTGGAATCCACCGCGCCTCCACCCGTGGCAACACTGGCGGTGAGCACAGAAAACCCTAGCGCGGTAGGTGCCCTTCGTACGAGTGAAGGGGTACCCAATTCTCCAGCACCGCTCTCCAACTGGAACGTCGCATTGTTTTTAGTTTTTTATACGCAACGTCGCATTATTTGTGGTAGCTAGAGGCTGCAAACTGGATTTGGATGAGAAGAATGACGCCATCCAAGTGATCGCTTTGTGCAAAGGCAGCTGGGCTACGAAGCTTTTCCATGATTGAAGTGACTATCCACTACAATGGCCCCACCGTCGAGCAGCAATACGTGTGGGCCCCACAGGAAGTGGATAATCAGGGAACGGCCGCAGCCCCACCGCGGCAAACTCTGTTTTTTAAAAACTCTAAATGCTCAAATCAAGATCGTGCAAGGTGTTGCGTTTGCTTGTGAATCAAATATCAAAGCATTTGGAGCCGGCCGGAGATGCATGATCCAAGTGAGAAACGAACCCTTGAAAAGTAAGTTGACTTGCAGAGTCAACTGGAACTTGCCGGAGGTTTTCTTTATGTGGGACGTTTTTAAGGAGATTCTGCAACATGTGTGTAAAGTCCAAGTGTCATTAGGCAGATACTTAATTCATTATGCCAAAAAAGCAGATACTTAATTCGAATTGTCAAATTCTTATTGGCCATGACACATAGCTACTTTACTCCCTCCGTTTTTATTTAATCCGCATATTAGGTTTGTCCAAAATCAAACTTTATATACTTTTCACAAGTTTGTAAAAAAATTATTAACATATGCACCAGCAAATTAATACCATTGGATTCATCATTGCATATACTTCACGTCATATAGATTTTTATTGTGAATGTTCATATTGTTTTCTACAAACTTGGTCAAACTTTATAAAGTTTGATTTCAATCAAAGCTAATAAGCGGGGTAAATAAAATCGGAGGAAGTATTCCACTAGATGAAGTGCAGATGAAAAAAAAGGAGATGAAGTCCCCCGATCAAAATAAAGGTCGAGTGGTGACATTTTTTTTTGTTTTGCAAATAGGAGTGGTGGCACTAATTAACGTGCATGCGGCTTTGGACGAGGATTTGCGGCACACAAGTGCAGGGGCACCCAAGTCCCTGATGCCGCCTTTTTATTTTGGCTTCCGATTTCATATTCGTGTTTCTCATGACCAGTGCTTTGAAATAAGATCCATTTTAAATATATTTTGGCGACTTCAAAAAATATGTAAGTTTCAATGTTGAAATTTAGTACGAGTGATCGATAAAAATCAATTATTTTGTGTCTACGCCGACAAAAAAAATGCTTAAAATTATATCTCTGAAACTTGTCATTTTTAGATGCAAAAACAATAAGTTTCATTGTTGAAACTTAAAGCTTTTTGAGAGATTTTATTTTTTTATTGTGCTCGGGATTCAACTACTTTGCGAATCGCGAGGCAAATCGAGCAGGCGGCAGGGCTTGGCAGGTGAGTGCCCCCGCGCTCGCGTGCCCCTTTGTAAATTTTCCGATGTGACTTTCCTTTGTAAACTAGGGTTGATAAGGTCATAGTAAGTCTGATATTTAATTTCCAAATTATAGAGAATATAGTAATGTACTTCCTCTGCCCCAAATTATAAGACACTTTTGGAGTAGGCTATTCTTTCTGGTAGGTCTTAGAGCATCTACAACCGGGTGCCTCAAACCTGTCTCGAACACCTGGACAGACGGACGGACGGACCGGTAAAAAAAGTGATCCAACCGGGAGTCTCAAACCGGCTTCAAACGCCTAGGCTGACCGGCACCCCTCATATACAACTCAAATGTAAGATGGATATGGGGAGGACCGGGCGTGTCTGCCATGTCGGATCCGGCTCACGCTGGCCAACCCCAACCCCACATGTATTCGTCCACATCCGCTCCCTCGACGAAACCCTAGCCACTCCACTCCCATCCCTTTCGTCCAAACTCACTCCCGACAAACTCCGACCTTCTTCGGCATGGCGCAGCGGATCATAGTTCTTCGTCAGCCGATCACCGAACTGGGACCTCATCCTAGTCGGGTTCTGGGAGGAGATGGTCGTCTGCATTGCGGTCCACCGCACCCGCGAGGAGAATGCCTTACATGGGTCAGAATAAATCCGCCGGGAATCCATAGCGTCCGCCCAAATGGTGCGTGGATCCGGCGTGCGTCGCATCGTCGCTATCTCGCCGGAGGTAGTGCACTCTATTTAGCATCCGAACACCATGGCGGACGCGCAACCCCTTCGTTGGTGCGCCGACGACGAGGCCATCTGTGGCCCGTCCACTGAGGGTATGGTGTGACATGCCTGTCATGCGAGGTAGAGGGCGCGGGAGGCCACGGTAGCCCTCACCGACGACATCGAGGAGGCAGAGTCGCACTCTGTGGCGCCTCAACAGATGACATGCAACCCCTGGCGGCGCAGCCGCGTCATGGTGGACATGTTGGCCTCCCCAAACAAGACAGATACATCGTCGATCTCATATCGAACGACACCGTGAAGGCTCCAGCCTCCGACGAGGAAGAGCAGGGCATTGAAGACGACGACGCCTCGAGTCTCATGAGCCAGTGCGTGTCCCATGTCTTACTCTACATCACATGCGGCTGGAGCAATACTTCGAGGGGCGCAGCCGGCCACCGGACATGGGCACGACGGAGGCGGATAAGCTTCATTTAGATTTGGTTTTACGTTGCATGTAATTGTATGAATTTGATATTTTGTAATTGAGGTATCCGCTTGTGGAATTATTGTTTTAGGTGTGACCAATCACTGTTCTCACAAAGGTTATTAGATTCGATTCGACCACTGCGCGGCTATTTTCTTGTATTCTCTTAAGATACCAAATATTCATTGGAATTAACTGGAGCTTTGCATATTAATTGATCATACAACAAAGTATCTAGGATCAGATGGAATGCCACTAGGAACGGGAGAAGAACATGTGCCAAATATTCATAGGAATTAGCTGGAGCTTTGCACATTAATTGATCACACAGCAAAGTATCTAGGATCAGATGGAATGCCACTAGGAACGGGGGAAGCACATATGCTCCTAGAGAGCACTTAGACTAACGCAAAAGTAAGTGGAGCCTTATGCATGTCGGAGTAGACTCTGAGCACACCAACCGAACGATCCCGGCCGGGTATCTTGTTTGCGTACTACCCATGTCTAGTTCTAAACCAGGTTTAGCATCTATTGACATGCCACCATGATTACTACTAATAACACTGCCGAATCTAAAAATAGGCATTTGTGTCACATCTGATTTGAGTGGCACCATGCCATCATGCACGTACGCTCTCTCCATTGAAGCAAAGTCGCAGAAGGCTGCGAATGAAGGTAAGGAAAAAGAAACCCCATCAGTGGGGGTTCATGTGCTGGCCTGTTGGGTAGTTCAGATTCCAGATTTGATGCATCATGTCGCTACATCTATAGTAGCTGCATCAATTCAATTGCTTTCAATCACTATTGAAAATGCTAAGGGTACGCTCAATCAGACCAATGCTTAAGCCCGGTATCAGACAGGGTTCGTCCATTTTTCATGCTCTCAAATCTCAATCACATGAATGCTTAAAGAAACTCAAGTGTTAATTAGTATTATTTTTCTTCAGGTGTTTTCTTTCGTCCCCCTTGACGGCTAGGGCAAACTTTTCTCTCCAGAATTCATGGGCGAGCCCATGGATTCGCCTCCCCTCTGGCCGTCGCTCCGGTGGCCGCTGGCAGGGAGGGGAATCCCAGTGCCTTCGCTCCGGTTATTAGTTTAGGTTAGGGTTTTTTAATCCTCACACGGATGGCGGCGCTTTTTCTTGGAATTTGTCTTCCTCGCTCCGATCTTCCTTGAGTTTGTCCATCTGGACATAGTCAATGGAGTTTTGGCAAAGAGCCATGCTGTCTCCTTGAGACGGCGAGTTTAGGGTTTCTCATCGTGCGTGCACGACAACGAGATTTGGTATCAGTTGCTGCAGATCTATTTAAGGATTCAATGGCGACAACTGCGACTCCAGGGCACTGGTGCTTAGGGGCACGTACACGATGATTTTCCGACTGTCATCGACAAGATCAAGCCGACTCTGGTATGGGAGCGACAACAACGGTGCGACGGCGGCTTGTTCTGACGGTGGTAGTGGTTCTTCGATGGTCTAAAGACCTCGATATAATTTTTATCATGTTTGAGGTGCCTTGAAGTTCTGATGAACTTTTATGATTGATCTGGATCTTTTTTATTAAAAAATAGTAAGTATTATTTTCCTTTGAATGATAATAACTGACACAAGGATTAGTGCAAAGATAATAATCATGGACTTCTGCTGCTTCATACAGAAGAACACATGGATCATTAATTTCTAGTGGCATCTACTTGGGCAACACAGCAGTTTTGTTGTTGGCAAATATCAAAGATATTCCAATTTTGGTTTTTCAAAGTAGATTCGCCAGCCCAGATGTCATTACAAAAACTAATAAATTTATCATCACCTAGAGCCCATTTTATGGAAAGGCCGAACCCCAGATAGGGCCCATGTAACACCTTTCCTAAAAGGGATCCAGTTTTTGTTTTGGCTCATAGAAGATTAGATTTGCAAGTGTTATATTTACACACTTCTGCTTCGCCCCCCGTAAACTCACGCTGCCTGATACGCACCCTGTGTACGTACCGCTCATACACGTTTTTTTTTTCTTGTTCTTTTTAATCTTTAAGAAATGTGTGCCACGGGCGATTCGAACTCCAACCCTCAAGGTTTACTTCAGCTTCTAGTAACCAACCAACAAAACAGGTTATTTGTTATGCACACTAGCTTTCTTTTTCGCTTCTTATGTGATAAATATAAATTCGTGAACTTTCAGTCCCGTTTTTTCAAACTGGGTTTTGTTTGGTTTTATTCTATTTTTTATTTCCTTTTTTCCCTTTTTTCAAATGCATGAAATTTATTTAAAAAATCAAAGTTATACACTTTTGTATCAAATTTGTGAATCTTTTTCAATTTTTGAACTTTTTTTAGTGAACTTTGTTTGAAAATCTGCGAAAAATTTCAAGTCTGTGAACATTTCTTCAAATCCACAAACGCTTGGGCCCGCTCAATAGGCACCCGGAGCGATGCCGTCGCCTGGGCTAAAGCGTAAGTGTTATTTTCTTTCTTTTTTCCTTTTCTTATCTTTTTTATGTTAATTCATTTTTCTACTTTTGAACCTTATTATTCTTTTTGAAACATGTTCGAAAATTTGAGGTATACCAAAAAAAAATGAGAATTGTGAATAATAGAATCATTCAAATTATGAAAAACTACATGGTCGCAGATGCACCTGTTTGGCCTAGTCTCGCACACTCCTCTCAACTGGTGTTTTTTTTTACTGTGAATAAATAACCCCAACTTCTTGCATAAGCCAGGCACGGACATATGAGGCATCCATGACGGGTTTGAATGAGTTTCGACACCGTTTGCACGTTGTAACACAGTTGGCCATTTATCGGCCCTTTTCACCGAGAAAACTAGAGAAAATGCAAACTTATCAAAAATCCAAACAACTTGGCCTGATGCCTTGAATTGGTCACATAATCTGGTGAAAATAAATTGGGGCCATTTGAAGCATGTCGAAAAACAACGTGCTTTCAAACAGACTCTTCTGGCACGAACACGTTGTTGAACATGGTCTATTTTTAAACAACCTTAAAATGACCCCAACTTTTGCAAGCATGTGGGCATGCCCATGGTAGACATCCATGCCAGGTTCGAATGAATTCCGACATTGTCTGCATATTGCGACGCGTCGGGCCATTTATCGGCATTTTTTCATCGGCAAAACTCCAGAAAGGAGAAAAAAGAAACAAGAAACAAAAACCAACAAAATGATAAAGATACAAACACGAACAAAAAAAGAATTAGTGAGAAAAAGACCAGTTCGCTACAATAAACCGGTCACTGAGGGATAGTTCTTGTACTCGAGTTTCCTAAATAGACACTGAAGCTTATTAGCTCGCCTAGCTAGCGATGAGCGTTTAGCAGTGGGAGTTAGGGCATCTCCAATGCCCAGCGCTAAAGCAGGGCGCTAGGAAAGATTTCCCGGCCAAGCGACGGTTACATCATGGATTCCCAGCATCGGGGCTGGCATCGATGCCAAATATAACAGCGAGCGCTTAGTGCTTTCTCCGCACAAGGTGAGGCAGAAATCGTGTTCCTGAGCCGTATTAAGCGTTGGTACTTAGCGCCTTGCGTTGGAAGAGTTAACGCTTATAGGCCTTTTATAAATTTTCTAAAAATATTTTTTCTTTTCTAAGCGCCTGGATAAGCGCTTACCATTGGACATGCCCTTACAGGGTTAGATCCCTCGCACAAACCATTCCTTTTTGGTGATTTTTTTCATGTTTCCACGAGCGACAATGGCCTGGCCCAGTCGGGCGGCCTCCTGTGCGTGGCGCCGTCTATTTGACGGGGTCACTGATATGTCTCGCCTACAGCGAGACGAGAGGAAGTCTTGCTGAATTCGAGCTCCATATTGGGTCGGCCCATCGCGCCACAGGTCACATGCCATATTCTCATATTTTTTGTTATTTTGCTTCTATTTTCGTTTACTTTAGTTAAGTTCCCAGATATTCTATATTACAAAAATACTTACATAAAAAATTCAAAAAATATCAAGCATTTAAAAGATGTTAAATGTGTACACAAAAATGTTTCTCATGTATAAGTAAAACAAATACATTGTGTATGAAAAAGTTGATCATGTAATTAAAAAATTTAATCAAGCATTTTATTGTTTTAAATATGTATAAAAAATGTGGACCATGTATTAAAAATATTAATCTGGCATTTGAAAAATATTAATCAAGCATTTGACATATGTTAAATGTGTATAGGAAAAATCTTTGACCATGTATTAAAAATGTTAATTTGGTATTTAAATTTTTAATCAAGCATTTAAAAAATGTGAAATGTGTGTATAAAAAATATTACTCATGTATTAAAAAATGTTAATCTTGTATCATGAAAATGTTAATCAAACATTTGAAAAATACTAAAATGTGTATGAAAATTGTTAATCCAAGCATTTGAAAAAAATGTTAAACATGTATTTGAAAAAATGTTAATGGAGCATTTGAAAACTGTTAAATGTGTAGAAAAAAGTGTTGACCATGTATTCAAAACTAACCTTATATTTGAAAAATGATAAATGTTTATTAAAAAGAGTATTAGATATGAACCAAAATGTGTAAAGAAAAAGTGAAACCCTAGAGAGAGAAAATGGATGAAAACAAGAAAGAAACCAACAAAACCAAAGAAAAAAGAAAGAAAAGAAAAAAGGAAATGAAAACCGTGAAAGAAACAAAGAAAAGGAAAGGAAAGGAAAGGAAAAAACAGTGAAAATAGAGAAAGAAATGAAGAAAAATCGATGAAAATACAAATAAAAACAAAGTAAACCCGAAAAAAGCAAGTGAAAACCTGCCTTTTTTTTACCCTCAAGTAAGTCACGCTCTACTATTATGTCACAAAAAGCCGAGAACTAGGGGACCCGAGATCGATCCCACCACTCCCTTCAAATTCTATATTCTTTAATAAAGTGTGTTGTAATGGGCTGGCTCGTTACTGTAACCGTTTAAGCCAGAGATCCTTCCACGTGCGACATATACGTTTCGGCAGACGACTCACCATACATACGAAAATGGGTACGTTTTGTCAAATGTCTGTTTTTCTTTTGATAAACTTGCCAAAGGTCTATATTGCCCTTTACGTTTCGTGACGGGGTTGTACCGAAGCGGGGCTCATATCATCAAAGTAATCCAGTTTTTATCTCCTCCCGCATTGGACAAATAGATACCTCTAAAAGTATTCAGTTTTGAAATTAACTATTGATTTAGAGATGTGCCCTTCATAGTCCAAACTTTGTTGAAACAGAAATATGCGGCTTTTGCTGTTGAATCATGGAGCCACATTACAATGCATGAAACGGATCTTCATTAAGCGATTCAAAAATTGAGAAGTCGCTATTTACTAAGAGACACATATTGTTTGTTCATGGTTGGATGCCCAATCCACGTCGGTCTTCTGGTCTACAAATAATATGCCACTTAGCTTATTTGAAGCAAAAACTAGCAAAAGTCAGACTCTAACTAGTTCATTTCTTAATGGGACCTACAACAGCCGTAGCGACCGGACCTCCAACTCTCCTTTTCATAGATGTCAACTCTCACACAACTACAAGAACAACAGATCAAGCACCACAGGCACACCACCCGTAAATCCTCCCTGTCGATTGACCGACACACACCTAACAAGCAAGCTTCAGCAGCCTGTGATGGCTGGCATGATTCAGCTTCGGAGCACAGTGGTGCTCCTCGTTGTGTTTGGCGCAGTAATGCAGATGCAACTGAGCTCGATCGTGCCCCTTGCGGCGGCCGCCAGAGTCCTGCTGGAGGTTAACGCCGGGATGGGAGTCGGCGCTAAGGCGGGCGTGGGAGGGGTTGGAGTCGGAGCTAATGCTAAGGCTGGAGGCAAACATTTCAAACACAAAAAGGCGGGAGGCAAAGGTGCTAGCCCTGCCCCGCCCCCATCCGCCGTCGACTGCGGCGACAACAGCGACCCCTGCGTCGGCGGGGGCGGGAATGGCTACGGCTATTACGATTACGCGGACTACCCCTGAGCTCACTAAAGTCGCGGGCCGGGTTATCGCCTGATGGACGTAGATGAAAAGATTGTAGTTCAGGTGCGTATGTTGTGGTTGTTTGCATGTTTTATCTCTTCTCCGCTACGCGTAAATTCGGGCCGGGCGGTGGACGGTGGTTGTTGCTCGTGAAATCTGGACGTTGAGCTAGCGGATTGGCCGTATTATCACGTCCTGGTGTGTGTGTTGTGAGTTACTGTGTCGTGGACTCGTGGGTGTTCAGTTCAGTTTGTGTCCTGGTCTCCTGTGTTGTTTATGATTTCTTCAACCGACAAGTAAATTACGCAAGAGGAGTCCCGCTTCGGTACAACCCCCCTCGCAATACGTATAAAGGGTAATATGGACATTTCGCACTTTGGGTATACTTTTATAGTAAAATATACGCAGGGCAGCTTACTTGGGCCGGCCCATTTGCGGCGGCATGCGATGAAAAATAGCGCACAAGCTGGGGATCGAACCCAGGACCACTTAAAACGTTACGCGCGTCCACAACCACTGCGACATCATGCCTTCAGTAGATTATCTAAAGATACGCGCGTTAAGTAAGTGACGGGCTGGGAATTTTAAAAAGATTTTACGAACACTTTGTGAACTGGTAATTTTTTCATAATTTCTTTTTATTTATTTATTTTCCTTTTCCTGTTACGTTTTTTCTTTATTTTTCAAAAAATGGTGACACTTTCAAAATGTTGCCCAAAATTTCAAAAGGTTCATTATTTCCAAATTTTCTGCATAAATTAAAAATTATTTGCATTTTTGAAAATTGTAAAGAAATTTCAAAAAATGTTTGTGTCTTTAACTTTATTTTCGTAATTTCAAAATGCGAATAATTTTTTGGACAGCACAAGCAAAATTGTGGAAACAGACATTTTCTCAGAGCACGGACAAAAAATTAAATTCCAAAACATTTTTCAAAAATGAGACTAACTGTATGATATAAAAATTGTTCTCAATTTGCTGGAACATTTTTTTGATTTGTGAACATTTTTTGTGAAAATGAGAAATGTTTTAAATTCCGAACAAATTTCAATAGTCGCTTGACAGGACCGATGTCGTCGCTTAGTTGGGCAAGGCCTAAGATTTTCTTTTCTGTTCTATTTTTCATTTTTCTCATTTTTTGTTAATTTATCTTTTTTTCCTTTTAAAACTTTATTATTTTTTTGAAACCTGTACAAAAATTGAAATACCAAAGTAGTAGTTTTAAGTAACTCTTTTAAATCATGATTTTAATTCTTTTTTTTAATATTTATTAAATGCTTTTAAAAAGCATTTGTTGTTTTCAATTCTATCATTTTCTACTTATTAGTTATGTTAGAAACTTAAAATGACAGTTTTAAGTATCTATATAAATTATGATTATAAATACATTGTTCCTTCAAACCTGGCATGAATGACTACTCGGACATGCTACGTTGAGCATGGTGTTTTTTTGGACATTCTTGAAATGACCCCAACATTTGCCAGCACGTGGCATGCCTATACCTGGCCATGGGCCGCCCAGCCCAGATGGCCCGACCGAACCTGGCCCGAAAATCCTATGCCGGGCTGAGCCCGAGTGTGCCATCGGGCCGGGCTCGGGCCTGGAAAATGAGCCCGACGAGTAGATTGGGCCAGGATTGGGCATGCAAAAATGCAATTTTAATTGTAGCCGGGCCGACCGGGCCGTGTCGGGTTTCGCGGGCTCGAGCCGGGCTCAGGCCCGATAAGAAAATGCAGAAAAAAGACTGAACGTGTCGCAACTTGCATACGGTGTCGAAAATTGTTCAACATGGCATGAATGCCTATGAAGGGCATGCCACATGGTGGCAAAACTTGGGATCATTTCAATGATGTACAAAAATAGACCATATTGAACGAAGTATGTTCTGGGGGCCATGAGGCACTGTCTGAGAGCATGTTATTTCTCGACATCCTTGAAATTACTCCAATTATTTTCAAGGGCCTCATATGACCAATTCAAGGCATCATGAGAAGTTGTTTGGGATTTCGACAAGTTTTGCATTTTCTGGAGTTTTCTCGGTGAAAAAAATGACAATTAATGACAGAACATGTCACAACGTGCATATGGTGTCGAAAATCATTTAGACTAGGTATGGATGCCTAACACGGGCATGCCCACTTGTTTGCAAAAGTTGGGGGCAGTCTTGATATTTCCAAAAAATACCATGTTCAATGAAGAGTGTTCGGATAGGTCAGAAGGGTATGTTTGGGAGCACCTCATTTCTCGACATCCCTTAAATTGCCCCATTTTTCATGACCTTGTATGACCAATTCAAGGCACCATGCCAAATTGTTTGGGGTTTCGCCCAATTTTGCATTTTTTGAAGTTCTCTTGGTTAAGAAGGCCGATAAAATGATCGAATGTGTCACTAGTTGCATATGGTGTCAAAAATCGTCCAAACCAGGCATGTGCCTACCATGGGCATGCCTACCTTCTTGCAAAAGTGGGGTTCATTTTAAGGATGTCCAAAAATAGACTATGTTCAACGTAGACTGTTCGGATAGGCCAGAATGGTCCATTGAAAGCTCGTTGTTTTTCGATATCTATCAAATAACCCCCAATATTTTCCACCAGCTTCTATGACCAATTCAAGGCACTATGCTGAGTTGTTTAGATTTTTGAGAAGTTTTGCATTTTCTAGAGTTTTCTCGGTGAAAATAGGCCGATAAATGGTCAAACATGTCGCAACATGTAAACGATATTGGAAGTCATTCAAACCTGACATGGATGCCTCATATGTCCATGCCAGGCTCTTACAAGACGCTGGGATCATTTATCCATAGCCTACAAGTTAGATGAGTGTATTTGTAATTCCGGTCATTATCACTCAACATAAACATTTTATTTTTTCCAAAGAATTTCCTGAAATTTGTCAACAATTTTGGAATTTCAAAGTGTGTATGGAAATTTTACTAACTTGAACACTTTTTTTTCCAATTTGAAAAAATGTTTTGTGTTTTTGTTTTCCAATAATGCTTGCCAATTTGAAAAGGTGTTTACATTTTTTAAATGTTCAGAAATTCAAAAACTGACATGTTTTCAACAAAATGTTCACAAATTTGATAAATTATTCGTCTTTTTCGAAAAATGTCTGCAGTTTCAGAAAATGTTTACAATTCTGAAAAACTGCTCTCAAGATTTGAAAAATATTCACAAAATCAAAGTATTTTTCATAAAAAAAATTCATAAATTTGAAATAAAAGATCACGTTTCCAAAAGAAGTTCAAGTTTTGAAAAAGGTTTCGTATTTTTAAAAATATTCCAAAAGATGAAAAAACACATTAAGCTATAAAAACGCTTTAGCTAGAATGTCCGGTCCGGCTGTACAGCACCAATTTTGATCTGCTACAGTATTTCTAATAAAAAAAACATCTACAGTACGTCCACTCTAGGTGATAAACAAGTGCGCTACATAATTATCACTACACGGTGATGGTTCTGGTGGCTGTTACCAATTTCACAAAGCAGAAGATCGTGTGTTCGATGTCTAATAGTGGCACTATTTTATTTAGTTATTTGAAATTTTGATATATTAATGGGCCGGCCCAAGGCGGACTTGGAACAGGATAGATTTTCACGACGTATTTTCTGAAAAGACCATCCTACCCTTTATTATGAAGGGGTATGAACAGATCTCGTCCATTGATGTGTTTAGAGGGGGTTGTACTGAAGAAAAAGTGTACGCAAGATCACCTCATTGCAAGAGACTTCAATAAAGACATAACCACACCTTTCGTGTAAAATGATTTGGAGCTAAGCATCACCCATTGAAAAAAGCAGATTTGTAAATTATCATTTAGATGAGAATTATTAACTCATAAGCTATTTATAATTAACCAAAGAAAAAGTAAAAAAATGAATCTTCATGTAAAATTCAACGGTGTTGGAGTTAGATGAGATATAGTTATTTTTCATCTAGACGAGAGCTAGTCACACCCATTTCACCATGTATCGGCAGGAACGAGATCCTCTAACATCACAAAGGGATGTCAGGGAAGCTACAGTACCCTGACATCGCTTCTTCACATCCATATGATTAAGCCTAAAATGATTTGAATTAATTTGCAAATTACAAATCTATTGTATATATTTACAAAAATTACATACAAACAAAATTATAGTGCAATAAAATTAATTTTGGATTTTATTTTCTATGAACAGTAATTGCGCACAGTGTCTTTGTTACAGTATCCGTGACATCCCTTCTTCATTTTATCATGACATTCTTCATAATGTTAGAGGATCCGTTCCGTATCGGCAACTATCTCCTCGAGTTAAAAACAAAATCGTTGAACTAACATGCATGGTCCACATCTAAGATCAGATGTGCCGATCCACCCAGAAATTGGGCTGGTTTGGGAACGCCTTGCAAGGATAGTGACAAGGAATTTTTTGCAGCGGCCACGTGGGTGTCTATTGGAGATTATAAAAAGGCCCAGTTCTAGGAGTCTCCGTTGCTATATGCCTTCTACCCAAATACATCGCACATTGTATCCGAGCTTCTTTCGCCAGCCACGGCAACATGGAACGAGGCCCTGGTGGCTGTTTTACTGTTTTTTTTTGAAACTATCACTTTTTTATAGCAAATTCAGAAACTATAGCATCCAATGCAAAAAAATTAGAACTATGACCCCGTCGGCCTCGTGTGTGCCGAAAAAATAGATTTCGGTCAGGATTTGACCGAAATGGGCTTTTCGGCCGTGCCTTGATCGAAGAGGTGCGTACCTGGGCTAAAAAGACCTTTTTGATCAGCAATAGGCCGAAAAGTCCTTTTTGATCAGAAGTAGGCCGAAAAGTCTTTGGGCCCCATCTTTTTACGTTAACAGGAGGCCAAAGCTGCATGGCTCCACTCTTCGGCTTATGTTAGGCCGAAATGATTTTTTTTTTAGTTTTGGCTTATGAATACTGTGCAACCATTGCCTATCTTAGACATTAAAAAAAATCACGCAACCGTTTCCCCTCAATATTTTCCCACCAACTCGTCCTAGGGATATTCTGCAGAGGAGTTTTGGTTCTTCTGTGTTAGCGGCTACGTACAGAGGCCTGTGCAAAGCTTGCTTGTTGAAGTCTAGAAAATCTAGTCTTGTTGGATGTCCATTATTGTTGCAGCTCTGGTCATACGAGAGATTCCAATACGACCCTATGTATAAGACAGGCAATGGTTGCACAACATTCATAAGCCAAAATTAAAAACAAAAATCATTTTGGTTTAACATAAGCCGAAGAGTGGAGCCATGCAGTTTCGGCCTCCCATTAACGTGAAAAGGTGGGACTTAGAGACTTTTCGGCCCACTGCTGACTAAAAAGGACTTTTCGGCCTACTGCTGACCAAAAAGGTCTTTTCGGTCGAGGTATGCACCTCTTCGGCAAAGGCACGGCCAAAAAGCCCATTTCGGCCAAATCCTGGCCGAAAACTCCCTTTTCGGCCCACACAAGGCCGTCAAGGTCATAGTTTTGAATTTTTTGCATTAGGTGCTATAGTTTCCGAATATGCTAGAAAAACCGTGATAGTTTAAAAAAATCCTGTTTTTCTTCCCATTGATGTGAATGCCATTATGAAGATCCCCACTTGCACCCGCAACATAGATGATTTTTGGGCGTGGTATCTGGACAAGAAAGGTAAATTCGCAGTAAGCTTGGCATACAAGTTCTTGCTGAAAACAAAACTACAGAGAGAGGAATGGCTGCAGGGAGGAAGTGGCTCGTCACACTCTGAAAAATATGAAAAATCCTGGTGCTCATTATGGAAGCTGAAGGTCCCATCAAAGATAAGGATTTTTCTCTGGAGACTTGCTCATCATTCACTTCCTACGATTGATGTTTTGAAAAGGAGAAATATGGCTATACAAGAGACATGCCCCCGCTTTGTGGCTGTGAGGACTCATCGCGTCATGCATTGCTGGCCTGCACTATGTCCCGTTGTGTATGGGCGCTAGCAGATGATGCTATTGTCTTGCAGATGATTGAGAATATGGAAGTCAACGCCAGAATTTGGCTGTTTGACTTGAATGAAACGTTGGATCATGCTAGCTTCACAAGGATGGTGGTAACCCTGTGGTCTATTTGGTATGCGAGGCGTAAGGCTATATATGAATCCATTTACCAGAGCCCTCAGCAAACCACATATTTTGTAAACAACTACATCAACGATCTTGGTCAGTATGCGTTCAAGGATAAAACCCAAAGCGCTAGATCGCCGACAGCTCCAAGGCCGAAAAGGTGGCTGCCACCTCCTACTGGCAATGTCAAGATCAATGTGGACGGAGCAGTCGCGAGAAACCACCGGGAAGGAGTGGCAGCGGCTGTTTGCAGAGACCATGAGGGTTTATACTTGGGATCCCAATGCTGGTCTTTCCGGGAATCAAGGATCCTCTCATTTTGGAAACCTTCGCATGCCATGAAGCTATGGCACTAGCGGGGGATTTGGCGGCCCGGAAGATATGTGTGGTTACGGACTGTCAGGAGGTGGTGAATGATATCAACAGAGGGACCAGAGGCCCTAATGCTTCGATAGTACATGAAATCCTGGGTTGATGTAATAGCTTTATTTCATGCTCTTTTATTCATGAGCGTAGAAACTTTAATTATGAGGCTCATAATCTCGCTAAATTTACTTGTAATCTAGGCATAGGAAGACATGTTTGGTTGGGCAATTCTCATGACCCGAACCATGTACCTATGGCAATTGCTATGAATGAATAAAGATAGCGAGATTTTTTTTAAAAAAACCCAAATACATCACACATAAGATATATAAAAAAGGTGTGCTTGGTTATCGAGGCTCTTGACAGTAATTTTTGGGTCCGTCAGATCGGTACCCAGCAGGGGCTAACCTTGAATCATATCCAGGAGTTCGCTGCCCTTAAGGAGACGCTGGTATTACCCTCAGCCAAGATAAACATGACACAATAACCTGGAAACTCACCACTAGTGGGGAATATACTGCGTCATTGACGTACAAGGCGCAACTTGCTGGACTTATCTTTAGTCCTATGCTTGCTATGATTTGGAAGATGTGGCCTTTTTCCAAATGCAAATTCTTTATTTGGTTAATCCTCCAAAATCATGTGTGGGCGGCTGATCGGTTGCATCGTTGCGTGGATCCCATCAACTGTGCAGAACGGACATGAATCATCACATGCAGTGGCGGAGCCAGAACTTTTGTGGAGCCTGGGCAAGTTGAACCTAAGTGTAAAAGGGCAGCCCGGTGCATGTAGAGTTCTATCACTTTGGGTTTTTTGTATGCAGTATTTTCCTACATTTTTGAAAGAGGTTGTTTCCCGGACTTGAAGTGTAAAATCTAGAAATAAAAAATCAGGTATCTGGATACGCAACATGTAATATAGCACCAAATTTCCGAACCATAAATCCACATTAATAATGAAGGGAATGCATAAATATAATAGTCACACAAAAGGTAATTAGTGAACTAATATATAATATATCAATATCCATTTCATAGACTAAACAAAGTTGAGACTTGACAACAAAAGATACTCCCTCCATCCGGAAATACTTGTCCTCGAAATGGTTGTACCTAGACTTATTTTAGTTGTAGATACATCCATTTTTTCCATTTCTAAGACAAGTAGTTCTGGACGGAGGGAGTATATAGCAAGCCTTGCACAGAGGCAAACTCACTATGTCACCAACAAAAGTAAAGCTATTCATACCAGATGTCATTGTGCAATTTCTTCCACCACAGTCGAAATCATCTCTCACTTGTTCATTTTTGCCAAAAGAAAGACACATAAGCCTTACATTGAGGCAAACTCGTGTTGACAAAGTCCTAGAAGGCCCTACAAGATAAAAAAATGAATATGTAATTAAGATAGATTTAGTTATGAGATGTGAACATATTCAAAATAGAAAGCTTGCAAGAAAATAGATGGTCAGATGGAATATATCGACAATGCGCTAAAGAAAATAATGAGGCAAATGCCCTTTCCAAGACTTCATTGCAGTAAATGTTTAAATAATATCCTTATCATCAACTGGCTTGAATGACTCTCGCTTGGTGTTGAGCCATTCATTATTGATCTTGCTAAGTAGTTTATTCTTAATAATCTTCGTTGTTGAAAAAGCTCTCCCACCAAATGCGCTGACACCGGCAATATTTAGTTTGCGGTTAACCAAACAAAAACAATGAAATAATTCTCTCTTTACCAGCAGAAAGACCACAAACTGCACATGAAAAAAAAATGCATTCTATGAGTATGAAGGAACCAGAAGGTATAAAAATATTGCATGAATACCATGTGCTGCAAGATGAATATGCTAGTTCTCCTATAGATTAATCGGCCTGAAAATAAATACTTGTAAATGAGAAAAATCATATGAGGATCAAAAACTTTCTGAGGACATGCCCCGGCCAGTGATCAACACAAAGTAATCTGTTTTCTCTTCTCTTCTTCAAGATGGGGACACATGGTCAGGGATGTGAGTTGCCTTCCAATTAATTCTGAAAGAATAATTCATTCCCTAGCCCAGACCCACTATTCCCTAGCCGGCTAACCGTAATTTCGGCGGACGATTCTTAGTTTCCTACCGGAGGTGGCCCAAGCCGAATGAGAGGAAGGAGGTGTTGAGGGACGTGTACTCAAGTAGACTGCCTGGCCGGTTGGGCGCCTGGCGTGATGGTGTCTGCTCGCCGCCGGCCGTGCGCCTCGCGGTCTAGGGTTAGCCTGTTAGGCTGCGCTTGCCGCCTGGGAGAAACGAAACAGACAGGGAGTCAGGGTGTTCGTGCGATCGATCGAACTCGTGATACAGAAATTGTTTCGGCCTGGGCAGCTCGGCCGCAGGCTGTTGTTGGGCCCTGAACAGCGCGCACATGTGAGAAACAAAGGCCTAAATTTTTTTTTGCCCGAGTAAAGCAAGCTACGGTATGTATTTAGCCCATCATTAATTCGGTCGATCGCTGTTGTTGTGGACCAGCGAGCCCGGGCAATTGCCCAGGGTCGCTGGGCGGTGGCTCCGCCACTGATCACGTGGAGCGAGAAGCTGAACTTTTGAAGTTGGGAGAGTTGGGAGGACTTCCGAACAAGCCCTATATATGTTGTAAACAGCAATAGTAGGTAGACTGGAAATAGTGTGCATTTATTTATTTAGGATAGTAAAATTGAGCCAAATCCCAGCCCTCCCACGCCTAGTGTTCCTAAACGTCCGTTTGGCTGATTTGATTGTTTCTGGCCCATCAGATCAACTGTTCTAAGGGGTTGCTACTCCACGAGAAAAATCAAAGCTCTCTAGTAAACTGGACCAATATGTAGCCGCTTCAGACAACCCAACATCTAGCCGAGTACAGACAGCCCACGGTCGCTGCGCTCCCTCCCGCATCCGTAAAAAGAACTATTCGCTCAAGAGAGGAATGGATCGGGGCGGTCTATATAGAGGATGTGGACGGGAGATCGATACTGTTGAGGTAGAACTCGGTCGTGAACGCTCGTAACCCTCCTTGTCCGCCTTGAGCTGCTCGGCGGCGCCATCTTCATCGCCGTCCACCGCCTTCTTTACGGCGTGGAGCTCGATCTCCGCCGCGCAGAGACCCTTGGTGGTGGGCCAAAGCACGTCACTGACCTCGTGAAAGCTGCTCCACGCCTCCGGCCACCGCTGCATGAGAGGGTGCCGCGCTCTTTGGTCTCGTTCGAGCGCCATGGCCCGATCGCCCGGCCTCGATGTCGTGTCGGGACGCGCTTGTGCGGCGGTGACCCACCGCAGCTCCACATCGGCGACCTCCGCGGGCCATTGATGTGCTCTAAACAGGTGCATGCGCACGCGAATCTGTCGCTGAAGAAGGTGGGATTGCGGCGGAGGTGGGTGGTAGAAATGCCGGATAGGAACCCTAAATCGACATCTATCCGGTAAATATAGTGGCAGAGTTGGGACGATATGGGCCTACAAGTTGTTTTTTTTTGACCGGATCTGCTGGAGATCCTGTTTGCCGTGTTTTGCGGCAAACACAAGCCCCATCGCACAGGATGCACCGACTGGGTCGGCCCATTATTTAGTCCATCGCGAATACGAGGGTGAAAAATGGCAAAAAGGGTTTCGTGCGGTGGCTAGGAATGAAAAACATCACTCCCTACTTGTGCAAGCTCGTTGCTAACCACTACGATCGAACAGCTCTGTGGACAGAAAAACAGCGGAACACTAAAAGAATAACGACAGTATCACACTTAACACTGTTTAACCAAATCCCGAACAATTTTCCAAATCTTGAGTAATTCTTTGAATGTACGAACAATTTTTCACAAACGCAAACAATTTTATGAAATCGAACAATTTTGAATTTCCCAAACATTTTTCGAGAATACAAACATTTTTGGAATTTATGAACAAATTTTTAAAGCACGAACATTTTTTGAAATTTCACAACAAATTATGAAACATAGATAAATTTCAAAAATCCCAAACAAATTTGGAAGTGTGAACATTTTTTAAAAACATGAACATAAATTTGAAACCTGGAAGATTTTTGAAAGTGTGAACATTTGGGAAATTTTGAAAGTGTGAAGATTTTCAAAAATCCCAAACAAATTTGGAAGTGTGAACATTTTTTAAAAACATGAACATAAATTTGAAACCTGGAAGATTTTTGAAATCTTTCAGAAAATTGTACTCCCTCCGTCCGAAAATACTTGTCATCAAAATGGATAAAAAGAGATGTATCTAGAACTAAAATACGTCTAGATACATCTCTTTTTATCCATTTTCATGACAAGTATTTCCGGACGAAGGGAGTAAAACATGAACAATTTTTGCAAAACGTGACAATTTTTACAAAACATGACCAATTTTTGAATTTTGAGTTTTTTTTGAAAACACCAACATTTTTTGAATATTTTGAACCTTTTTTGAATAAAAAAGAAGGAAGAAAAATGAAATGAAAACCAAAAAAGGAAAAGAAACAGAAAAAATGAGGAAAATAAGAAAAGAAAAAGGAAATAGAAAAAAGAAGGAAAAACAAAGAAAACCAGAAAACCCGGTTTAAGAAGGTTGGCAAAACCGGCCAGGACCATCCAAAAAGCTCCCAAAACCAGGAAAATGATCCTATGTAAAAAAGAGCTAACTGGACCGGCCTATGTACCATTGAACATGTGCGATAGGTCGACAACCTGCCACCGCAGAATGCGGTAATTAGGGTTTTCCTTGGATCTTCTTCGACCGAAAGACAGTATATCATGTGGTTCAAAAAAAACAGTATATCATGTAAAACGGTTGGACTTATAAGGGCCGGCGGCGGCGGCGGCTCACCCTGGTTGCTAGATCTCACCACTAAAAAGCGAGCGGCGGCGGAGAAAAAGTCGAGGCGAGGACGCCCTCTGAGATAGAGAAGGAAGGGAAACCCTGCAAGTTGATGGAGCAGCAGCTGTGTGAAGTTCTTTCTTGCGGCCCTGCGACCGAGAGTAGGGTTCCGGATCGTCGTCGCCTTCGCGGGAAGAAGGGGAAACGCAGGGAGGTTACACTGAAGAGTGAGAGGTCAAATTCGCGAGCCCCCCTCGCATTGTTGCATGGCAGTAATTTTGATTCTGATAGTAGTCACGAGGACAAGAAACCTGGAGATCCCAACATAAGTGATGAGGGTGTTGATGAGATGGACATAGGCAAATCACCCACACAACTAGCCATGGAGGCCAAGGAGATGGCCGCAGAGAAGGCGGATTTCGCTTGCTACATTAGGATCTGGAAGTCTAGCTGGGGATTCGAAGGCTACGGTTCCTTCCGAGACATGAGTGAGTACTTCCTTCCTCACATCCTCTAGTTTTTTTGTACCTTCAATCATCTTTATTTTTACAAGGGAAGGCAAGGGATTTACTACTTTATTTGCATCTTGTATCTGGTACTGCTTGTTCATGTTAGAAATATTTCTAACACACGCTTCCCTTGGTTGGGTGTGACCCATGCAGCGACAGTGAGCTCCATGCACTTCACAAACTCGATACCTGGCAGTGACCCATCAGACCGTGGGACAGTCGCGCCTACACTGCAGGTCTTCTCCATCAAAATCTCTGAAATAAAAGGCGGCTTGCGGTGGCCATTGTCTGTGTATGGCGTGGTTGCAGCACGCGACGCCGTGGATCACAACCGCAACCTTCTGTTTGCTCGCGATAGGAGTGTGTACCAGACAATCAAAGAAGATGTATGTGCACTCTGTATTTTATTTTGGATATTTATTACTCCCTCCGTCCCGAAATACTTGTTGGGAAAATGGATAAAATTGGATGCATCTATAACTAAAATATGTCTAGATTCATCCATTTCTCCGACAAGTATTTTCGGACAGAGGGAGTATGTTGATACTTGCCTGCCGGGTGCCGGCCTCTATTCCCTCTTGTTGATTATAGTAGCTAATGGTGTGGTCGTTGATGATTGCAGGATCCTTATTTGCGCTTGACTGGCCCCTCCCGTGCAATTGTGTTTGGGGATCCCGTGGACTTTGAAATCCAACTGAAACTAAGAGGCAGCACAGCGGCTCGAGATAGAGCATTGATCACTAGTACAGAGCGTTACTCCACAGGAATTGGTCCCATATGCTTTGAGAACTGCTTCTGTACAACAGAGTTAAAGTTGGAGGCGATTGAGAGGTCAGTCCAGGCCACTATCTTGGGTGTCTGTGTCAAAGGGGGGCCGTGGCCTTCCAAATATGGAGGTAGAGTTGTTTGCTATGCGCCATCACAGTCAGGTGAGATCAATGGGGAAGTGGTCTTGTCCGATTCATGTAGCGGAGGAATGATGCCTACCGGTTTGAGTGGTCACCTTCGTCTGTCAAGGAATGTTGTTTCTGTAGAAATGCAAGGCAGTCTACAAGTTAGCTTACAGGCCTACTCATCTTTTGGTGGGTTCTCTCAACGAAAAGTTGTGTCTTCAAAGCTAAGTCGTGTCTCATAAGTCAGGCTAGTGTTACCTTTGGTGGCGCTAAGGTGGAGATTACAGTTGCTTGGTCCCGTCTTGTTTCAGAGAAGGAGGATATCACAACAAAGGGCTGGGTGCATGGACTTGGAGATTTAGACAAGGTGTGATCCAGGATATTGTGAGTAGTAGGTGTGAAACAAGAGACCAATACCAAAACCAGATCTCTGCTCATTCTGTCCATTCGATTTGGTGAAGTGTGCTTAGTATTTATGTATCAATTAGCTTTGAAATATCTCCAACTTGTTATCCAACTACTTGTGCATTAGCGTATCATCCAATTATTTGTGTACCCATTGTAAGTATTATGTTATGTTTTGTGAACTATTGATGCTTAAGTAATCAGCAGTCTTATCTGATAGTTTGTGTATAGGTCCTCTTGTTATTTGTACTTCATTTGTAATATGGCAGTGTGACCTAGTTCTTTGAACAACTAATCCTTCATTCAGTCTGTTAATGTTAATCTTGTCACGTGTTAGTTTGAGTACACAGTGAAGTGCCCATGTGTTGGTGCATAGTGTGTGTGAGAGTGACGGAAAACTGTATGTGTTGCAGTAGACCATCATGGCAATGGGCAACGACGTGTACTGCGTGTGCACAGTGTAAGTTGTCGGGTGGGTGGTTGTAACTGGCCATCAAAGGGTCAAGGCCTGTATGTGTTGCAGGCTGTGAAGCCAAAAAAACGAAGGGCATGTGTTGCCTGGGAGAAAACCAACCTGTGTCTACTCTGTTCTTCAAACCCTCAAACACCTCGCGAGAGAAAGCAGGGCAGGAGAGATTAGAGTGGGATTTGGCTAACATTTGGCACCAGAGCCAACGAGGTTTGATCGACGGAAATAGCTATGGCGTCGGAGGAAGTGTTGAAAGCGGCGGAGGCTACAGCGGAAGCAGATGCATTGAGGGAGGAGCTGGCAGCGCTGAAAGGAAAGAAGTGGAAAGGGGAGGTGTCGTGGAATTGTCACGGCAGATGTTCTTAGTGTCAGGACTTAGTCGCGAGGCCAACGCATCTATGTGGTAGCTTGAGAGGGGTTGAGCGGGACGAGAGACGCGATGTTTACCCAGGTTCGGCCCCTCACGGTGGAGGTAAAAGCCTACATCCTGCTTCATTGATATTGATGATGATGATCACGGTTACAAGAGTGCTCTATCTCGAGAGCTATTGTCTAAACCTAACTTGTCTAACTTGTGGAACTTGTGAATCTTGTCCCTCTTGGGGTGCCCTGCCCCTCCTTATATATGTTGAAGGGGCGGTTTACATGACTAGTCCTATTAGGATTAGGATTACTCTATTACAAGTGGAGTCCTAGTCTTGCTTCCTTTGTAAGGGAATATTCCTTGTGCTTTCCTCATAAACCGGCCCACCATTAAACGTGAGCCGGCCTTCTGGGCCTTGGTCCTCGTCATCCATCTGACCCGCCCACCGGGTCACCAGTGAGCCATAATGACCAGGCGGGTTGCTTGTAAACCGCCAGGTCAGGGCGGGTCGCCAGTGAACCGCCAAGTGTCAGCCGGATCTCAAGTAAACCGCCAAGTCCAGCCGGGTTATACTTCCGGCCGGTTTATGCCGCGGGGTATATCCCCGACATTAGCCCCCAGTTTAATTTGGATTTATCCATGTTAAACTGATCCTATAAAACAAACACAAGAACAAACTTGACAGATTATGCTCCGGGTTAAGAATTCTTGTAAACCGGCACCTGATCATCCTTAATTCCTTGTCATTTCCTTCTTCTAGAAAATCCAGG